CAGTTCTCCTATGAGCTCAAGGCAGGCAGCTCCTTACATCAGTCTGTAGCTCTGTTGTCCTACTTCGCTAGTCTTTAGAATACTTAACAACAAAATTTCCATACAAGAAATATAATTAAAATAACAGTAGAGCCATTGTCTTGCGGGCATATTTCTTATATCCAAAACTCAGCTCATTTACACATTGCAAAATAACCAGGAGCATCCTAGAAGAACAGCACAGAGTGCTCAACTTTGTCATTTTCTCATCTCGAAAATGGTTCTAATTCCCAGAAATGATGGGCTACAACCAAGGCACCTGATTTCAGCAGCAGCAAATTATTTTAAGTTTTAATAAGCAGTTATGTTAATGAACAAGAAAGCTATGATAAAAACAGGTTTTTTGCTGTTATAGTGTTATGCTTAGGGAAATTCTTATCATTAAAAACTACCCGAGAAGCATATTAATGTAGACAATTTCAACAAATCATCACTTGTATCCTAATTAGATAGGAAAAAAAAAAAGGAAAAAAAAAGTGCTCATTGTAGCTGGATTATACGAAGTATGATTGATTTAATTAATTATCAGCCCTGTTCATTAGAGTCCTCCAGGACCATCTGTTAATTGAAACCTTGCTCTGGATGACCCCTTATTTTCCTTTCCTGCCATTTGTGTGACTCTTGTTGTTCCAGTGGCAGAGTGACCAAGGCACATGCAGATGTAAAAAACTTCAGGAGCACACTGGCACCTGTGCTCCTTATGCCAAAAACAACTGAATCTTTTAAGCCCATGTGTTTTAGCCTTGCTTCTCCTGCATATGCGTAGTTCCCTGTGACAACTGAAGCTGCATATGCAGAAACATTTCAGAGAACTACATCAGTCTGGATGGACTGCTTTGAGAAGGAAGAAGGACTTTCCACTGTCTGAACCACCAATGCATCTGCCATAGCAGTTACTGTGGGGGGCTAACTGTGAGCTTAAATATTGAAAAAAGTTAGAGATTGTGGTAACTGTGGTGCAAGGCCAGATACAGCTGTGATTGGAAAAGGATGACAAGATAGGGGAAACGGAAGAAATGGCAAAGGCCATCCCTGCTCTGCCTAGAAAGGGAAGGGTTAGGTTTCCAGTAAATCTAAATCTGCTCATCCGTTCAAATTCAGCCTTGCTGAATTTTGAAGGAGGACAGATTTATCAACAGTGCAGGATTTTCGCATTCTGATGTAAATGTTGTTATTAATATCTATAAGTAATCAAAAATTAATGAAGTTCCATCATATTATACGTAGCACAGAGATACTTGGAATGCATAATTTCTACAGCAAGCCTATAAATCATATGAGGTCTAATGATTTATTCCATCACATGCTTTTCCAATTATGTTCTGATTTTCTGTTTCAATTGCTAAGGAACTAAAACCAAATTATTTCAAAGCCTGGGTTTATGCTTATTTTTGTAATAAACCATTCCAAATGAAATTAAAAAAAAAAAAAAAAAAAAAACTTGATCTTGTTTAGGATGTATCCTTCCAATTTTTGTCCAGGAAAAACCAAGAACCTCATGACTGTGCAGCTGCCATAGGAAAAAATAATGTCATTCCCTGGCCTGCATTAACCTTGACAGAGATTTGACTTTACATTGTGACTGAGTGCACTGATTACTAAAACATTACATTTTTCACAGTGGTGTGGGATTCTTTGTTTCTCTCTGGTTTCAACCTGGACCGATCCAAAATACAACAAAACTGTCATATATACTACTAGGAAGAGTTTCTGTTTCAATGCGTTCACATTTTCTAGGAAAATGCTTTTCCTTTAGACTCTATTCATGGTGATACATATTCCCTTCAAAATCAGTTGTTCCTTGAGGAAGTAGGAGTGAACAGGATATAAAGATCATTTTGAAACATCACTGTTTCAGAAAGTGCAAAAATAAGCGTGAAACCCCATTTCCACTTTGTTCAATGTCTTTTCTCTTATTAAAGCTTATCCTGTATTTTAAAACCTCCAGAAATTTGTTATGTGTGGAAGAAAATCATATATAGTATTTTTAAAATGAGCAGTTCTTTTAGCATTCCAGTGCACAGAGCCATATTTATTGTATTTGAGCTCGCTCACTATAACTACAGCAGCTGTTGTTAAAATTTACTTAAGTAGCAGAAATTTCAGTTAATTTTCAGAGAATATCACCATGCATAAATTTGTAATGTTGCTAGAAATGGTAACTATTTTTCTCAAGGAATGAACAAAGATATTTCACGTTGTTTCTCCAAGAAAAACTTTATACTCTTGCCCCATCCTCCAAAAAAAAAAAATTTCAGAAAACATCCTTTTGCTCCTTTTCTTTCTCAGAATAGATATATGTCCATGAAGTTTCTCTTTGTAGTATACATATATATGCTTGCGTATGGGAGACAAACAGGATTTCTGCCTGTCACACATGAGTACACCATGTAGTACAAGAGACACTCAAACACATGCTTTCAGCACACAATGACTTTTTTCATCTTTGTATAACTGAGCAAGCATAGCAAATAGTAATTGCTAATGGTAGTACAGATGATGAATACAAAACTGCATAGCACTAATAGGAACCAGAATAGTAAACTACCAAAAAAATTACCTCTTTTCAACTTCTACCAGCAGTTTTGTGATGCTAATTCAACTGAATTGAAGCTGTAGACTAGTCATTCCAGAATCATTAAGTACTTTCTGTTCTTGCCAGTTCTCCATCGGAGGCCCTACTGGGGTGTAGAGTATGATAGAGGACATGCTCCTGTGTGTGTGGATTAGCTCCTGTAAGATGCCTGTGACAATTTCAGCATACTTACAAAGCAGAAGGTGTTTCTCATGCATCTGTACAGACAGTATGATTTCGAGGGAAACTAAAAACTTTAGTCAAATGAAATGTGATTAGATTTTAATAAGGAAAAGATTTTATTGGAAGCAAAGAATGTTTCATGCTTCGCTGGTCTCCTCCCCTTTGGTATCTCTTACCCCTGCCCCAAAGAGGAAACCATCAGGAGAATCAGATGTCGAATGGCCTGGATGCCTGCCATCAACCCCCATAAATTGAGAGACATCATCTAACAAAGTGTAAACCAGATTTGACAATTCACGATTTAACTACTACTATAAAAGCGGTAGTTAAATAACTAAAATACGTATTTTTTTCTTTTTTCCAGTTGGCTTCTTGTCCATTTTATTCTTGGCCTACAGAGAATTTCCTACAAGGAAATGTACCACATGGTAGCCAACTATTAAGAATTATTGTTACTATATAGAGAACTTTTTCAATTTTGCACATAATCCTTTCTGAAGTTGTGCAATAACTCTGTCCATGGAATTAAGCTGAAGTTTCTTGTAGTAGAATGAATTAAAAAAAAAATCTTAAACAGTCACATTCATTTTTCCATGTGTTCTTTTCTACCAAAAAATACAACATTTTCTTTAGCCATGTTTTAGCAAAGGGATCTCATTCTGCTTTTGTGATTTAGGCATTCAATATGGGATTTACAAAACTGGAAACAAAGACACTGAAGAAGGTTCTAAAACCTCTTTCAATGTGATGTAGTTATACAAGCTGACATGTTTTATGAAGGAATACTATGTTTTCAAATTGTTCTGTGACAGCAAAAGCAAATTACATTCACAATTTTTCAATGTGCTGCCAGCAATCATAAGCTAGTAAAGCAACATTACATGACACAATATTAATAATGCCATTTGTTCAGGTAAAGTAATGCCCGAGTTGACATATGTGATATTTTACAGTCTGATTGGCTTCCAGAGTTGTAGGGTCTCACAATCTAAAAACATGCAAACTGCTTATTGGGAAAAAGTCAATATTGGATCAACCCTACCCTTGCAAATATTCCTCTATCTAACTCATTTGCAGTGTTTTCTTACCAGTACCACACTAGTCCTCATTCTGTAGAAATAACAAATTAATTAGCTGACAAGGAACAGCTTTCTCCTGGACATGGAAATACATTCAGCTGCCAAATAAAATACAACTTTCATCCTCTTCTTCTTGATGAACTGCTTAAGAAGTTCCTTCCAGTACTTTTCTCCTTCTTCTGGTTAACACACAGATTTTTGTTTTATCATTTCAAAACCCATAACTTTATGATGGCAGTCCAGAACAGAATCTAAATTAAGTTTATCATTTCATACCAGTGTGTATGTACTATATCACTGCATATTATAGGGATTCAGATTTCCTTAAGGTATGGAGCTGAACTGTGCTGCAAGCTCTGCTGCTGCAACTCTGCTGACTGCACTGTTGTACTGAAAAATTTCTTCCAATAAAAGTTGCATAAATACAAGTTGATGCTATTGAAATGGACAATCTTAAAGAAGGTTCCAATGTGAAAGAAAAGCAAGCCAGACAAAGAAGGATAGATTTTTAAATGCTTTCATTCACAAGTTGTCCAGGGAAAGTTATGCCTAGTATGAACATTCATTTACTGTCTTACAAACAATTACATACCCATAATTACACTTGCATGTATCTTAATGTACTTCTAGGAACAAATTGATTTCCTAAATGCTTCTGCATCGTCTTAATCACTTCACCTGTATATTACTACAATGAGAATATATCTACCAAAATATTCACCCTTCAAACTAAGAGTTAATTTTATGGATGTGGATATATAACATATATTCTTCACTAACTGTCTAAATTACCTGTGGTCTGATCCTCAATATCCGAAGTCACTGAATATTTTGGTTTGGTATTTTTTGAGTATGATTCAGTCCTTCAGTGTTTCATAGTTAGTAGCCAATCTTAGCATATATTTAATGTTATTCAGGTTAGATTTAGACCCTTCACCAGGAAGCTCTGGGGACTGTGTTTTGTGTGTAGATGTGCAACCATCCCAGGGAACAGGGTCACAAGTTTGGCTTGGGATCTTCAGGTGCTCAAGGTGTACTGGTAGGCACACACAGTGGTCATAAGTTTCCTGATGCTTCAGTGTTGCTTATCTGTAACAGGCATTTTTCTTATTTTCTGTTACTAGGAATTTGTCATGATTGTTGTCTTTGGTTTGGAATTTATTATTCGTATCTGGTCTGCTGGATGCTGTTGTCGATACAGAGGATGGCAAGGAAGACTACGCTTTGCAAGGAAACCATTCTGTGTAATAGGTGAGTGTGCCAGCTCTAGTTTATTTCAAGATAAAAATAAAAGCCCCCCCTTCTGTTTGGATTCTGAATGAAAACTAATGGAATCAGGCTCTGTTTACAGTAACCAGGTGTAAATCCAGAATAGCTGTGTGTCACCTGTCATCTGCCCAAGGCTTTTCTAGGTATAAAATCACAAAGTCCCTAAATACTAGTCAGCCCATGTTTGTTATGTTCTCCAGAAGACATCTTCCTATGCATGTCATACAGCTGGCATGTATATTGGAAGAATGAGGGACTGAGAGCTAATCTCCTTGAAAATCCTGGGAGCTGTATGCATTTAGTGGGCATGAATATTAGACAACTTGTATATACATGTATACATACCATGAACATATGTGCATACGTTGTGTTCTCCTTATTTACCCTCTGCGATCAGACGTGTACACTGCAATAAGTTTGAAAACCTACCTAGAAATGTGTTCTGACAACATTGCTGCTTCCTGCATTGCTGCTTTCTGCATGACAATCCAGGTATCTGCTCTGCCAGTGACTCTGGCATAGGATATAGCATACTTCTACAACTATTTCAAGAGACTCTTCCTCTTCTTTGCTGTAGAAATTCTCTCTGAGAGTGGTGAATAGGCCCACAGGCAGGCAAAACCCTATTTTTAAAAAGAACCTGCAGGAAAATAGTTTCCCAATAAAGGTAGAAATCAAGGATGGCTAACCAAATTAATCTGATAAGTTCTTATATTTCTAATGGTTTGGAACAAGTGCTTTTTACAGGACATCTGTGGAACTTCAAGATATCAATGTCCCAACTTCTTTCTCAACCTCCTTCCTCTCTCTAGCCTTTAATTTCATCTGCTTGTATCTTACACTAACTTATAGATCAGTTGGGGCAAGAAACATTCTCCCATGCATCCATACAGGAGCTAGCACACAGAGTCCCATGCTTATGGCAGTTACATACACAGGCCTCAGTGAATAACAACGTTGTCATGTAGGTGAATGCAATCCTGGTCTAAGAAAGAGTTATGCAGTGGCAGTGTCCCGTGGCATAGCAGATCAGTGCACTGGTTAGGGCTGATGCCTTCTGCCTCATTCCCTGGTAAATCCACACCTTCTCCCACTGAGGAATTCCTGCAATGGAGAAAGGGGCTTTAGCAAGAGGTGGGTGAGTAGGTGGAAAGGCATCGTGGACTGTCTCCCCCTCAGAAAGAATCACCCCATCTATGCTATTGTATGACACTGTGGGAGAGGAGGACATATCGGGATTGGCAGTTTTGTGCAGGCAGCAGTGGAGGTGGGTAGGTACCTTACTCCACCCCATCCAGCACTAGGTCATACACCTGCCCCCAGGTTCCGACATTTAGCCGAAAGGAAAATGGAAAGAAAATTCAAAAATCTTTCCAGCTTTTACCAGCCACCTGTCAAGGGAAAGCTAGAAATTCAGACATTCACTCTCCCTGGCACCAACAAGCACGGCGACCCTCCTTAACCAGACTTACCATTATTCCAAGATTTTGTGGTGCACCTGAAACTTTGCAGTAGTCAGGTTTTGTCAGCACACAATCGTAAGAAAGCACCAGATTTTTAATTTAGTAAAATTAACCTACTTCAGCCATTTAAAACTTAACTACAAACATATAAATCTTTAAAGACTTTGAAGACTTTGAACTTACTAGAAGTATTTGACATCCCAGAGTGGTTTGCTGCTCTCCCAAATGCTGTTGTGTGGGAACACTAGCAGTTTGTTTGATTCAGCTTTTGTTTTGTTTCTCCTCTCTCTGTCTGCATTCAACTGGAGAGTCTTCTGCCAGTGATTAACTTTAGTCTGAGGTGTTAATTCCCAGCAAAAGTCAATGTAGGGGTTCTTCCTTGTCCAAAACTCTGCATGTTATCATGGGGTGACTGATGTAGATTTTCCCCCTTTCCTTTAAACAGCTCATAGCTACCCCCCTACTGTTTGTGAAATAGTTCAGGCAGGTCTCCTAGCACGGGCCTTGGTGAGTGTTGGGGTTCCCTTCACTTGCCTGTGGTTTTTCCTCCTTTCTCTGCAGTTCACCTGCTCTTCTTGTTGCACCTATGTTCATGTAGGCAATCTCTAGCCTTAGAAGTATCTTCTCTGTTGCCCTTGCAACTCCATCACATGCTAGCAGAATTAATTAGTAGCCAACAGTCTTCTGTTTGTGGATTTCTTCCTACGCTGTTTCGCTGGATGAAAAGGGTGCTTTGTTCTGCAAAACACTGTACAGCTACTAGCCCACCTTCTGGAAATTAAACCACTAGCTTGAATTTCTTGCCATTAATTATTCTGTGTGTCTCTTCTTCTGTTGATTGATTTTTGTCCATTTCTGGACTTTAGCATCCCTGAAGGGATTTTCTGATATTCAGCATCTCTCCAGATCTGACCTTTTGAGGAATAACCTTTAGGAAATCATCTTGCAGCTCTTGCTACCTAAAGTAACTATTTGCCTGACGCCTTAGCATTGCAGTCATGGCAAAGGCCAACAGGGTGTATTAGCTAGAGCACCATCAGTAGATGAAGACAAATTATTATCTCCCTTTTTATGTCCCTTTACTCAGCACTCATTAGACCACATCTAAGATACCTGCACCCCATTTGCCCCCTCCAACACCATATATGAAAGACGTCAATAAACTGGAGTGAGTTCAGTGGAGGCCACCAAGATGATCAGTGCTGGAGCATTTGCCCTGTGAGGAGAGACTGAGGGACCTGGGCTTGTTCAGCCTGGAGAAAGGATGGCTTCAGGGGAAGCTCAGTGAACTCAGTGCTAAGGTCTGCTTAAAAGCACATGGCCAGTTTCGGCCTATTACTTTTCATGCATTTGTTTAATTATTTACCTACTCATCCATTCAGTTATTCTTTCTGCTTATTGTTGCAGTGGAACAATAACATTTTAGAAGACTTAGTCTGTTTACTATTAATTACATTTGCTATATGTCTCCAGCAGATCTGGTTCTCTGATTATTTATGTGATCAAACACAAATCACATAGGGGAATGGCCTAAGAGCTAGAAATAATAAATTTGAGGATTGCCTCAAGGGTCACATTCAGACAGCCTTTATTTTTTTTTCATTAATAACCTAATAACCAGAAAAATTTTATTCAGGGCCAAAGCTCTGTGCTTACTTTAGTATGCCTACAATATCACGACCCTGAAAAATTAGTTCATCAGGTATTGCTGTGTGCTACCAGGTTAGTAATGATATCTATCAAATTATTTGGCAGTTTTGTACCCTGGATTACTTCCGTGAAAATGGGAATAAGAATGTAGTATTAAACCTTGATTCATATTTTGTTCCATGTCAGGAGTTACCTGCCATCCCTTATTTTCTCTGATTGTATATGAGCTTGTGTACATAATATAAAGGGCATACCACCATACCCTCCCAGGTACTTAATGTACTTAAAGATGTACTTACTTCTGCAAATCCTAAATTTTCCAGGCATATCAGTCTGAAGCTTGGCTGTTAGCGCTGCAGAGCAATGTTGCTGTGTTGTACAGTGCAGAAGAGTAGCTATCCAGGCACCGCATCTCCTGACTGCTGCCTCTGAGGGCCAGGGATGCCAATGCCTGGGAAGAACTCTGTGCCTGCCTGTGCCTTAGGAGGAGCCGCGCTCCCTGAAGATCCCTGAAATAAAAGAGGACATATCTGCTAATCGGGAAGAAAGTATGGCATCCCCTCCCTGTAAAGCCGTTCAGGGACACTGAAATAAATGAAGAGTCCATTGTCCTTTCTCTGGCAACGGGCCTCCTAGATGGTTGCATGTGACCTGACAAAATTAATCTTCTGACCACTGCCCTGTGTGTTTGAGAGGTTTTACAATCACAATGAAATCTCAGTCTGTGGGGGTGGCTCCCATGTGGTGGTACATTACAAAAATAACGAGGAATAATAAATAACAAGCTGTGGGTCAAAAGAGTAAGATCCTGCCAGTCTCACCTGCATGTCTGAAGTCTGCTAGGCTTTCAGAGGAACTTCTTTCTCTCCCCTGACTCTGTAGGAGACTTTGGGACTCCTACGTGAGGAAGCCTGGCAAGGCCAAGTGAAAAGCACATGAGCACGCTTCCCTTCAAATGCTGGAAGCAGTCAATTTTAGTGCCTAAACTTTATGCGACTTCTAGATTTAAATTTGGGGTTGAAACTCCTATTTCAGAATTTTTCACATTAAATTTGAGCCCACTTCTAGTAACATTTCTCCAGGGCAACTGGACTTCCTGGTAGTCCAGTCCAGTGAAAGACTTCATGTATTTCAGTTAGTCTATGAGCAGTTTCCCCACAGCTGCTTCTATTTTACATCTAGTCAAGCTACAGCATGATGGAAATGTCACAAGTTCAAATTCTGTTGAGGCTGCAGAATGAACAAATTCCCAACAGGAAGCTTAAGTCCATTATCTGTAATCAGGCTCTTGAACTTCATGGCTGACAAACCTCTTTTCAGAGCATTAAGTGATAGCAGTGGCTGTTGCATATTACTGGATCTATTTTTCATTAATTAGAGTGGTAATGAACCATCATATAGCACTTTTGTCAAACCTTTATAAACAAATCCATATCTAGTGTGTTACAAGATCTGCCGAACCTTTAATTTAAAGTAATTTGTTATATTTATGTAATGATACGTTGTGTGTCTGTCACCTTGGTATTTAGACACATTATATCGTTTAAATACAGACAGATAGTAAATCTACTGCTCATGATAAACAATATAAACAGCCCCTTTCCAGTATAATTTGAACTCTAAATAACCCAGCGATGGTCTACAATTAAGTATATACTTGACCAAGGAGACACATCTCACATCACATCTCATTACAAATCCCAGCAAAACCAAGTTCCAGCAGGAGCAAATTCCACGCTGGGGGGTCTCCTACCAGCCTCACTTGAACTTATCTCAGGAACATGCTGCCCCCTTCACTCCAGAAAATACTCTGATAGTAGTAGTAGTATTAAGACTGGAAATTGAAATTTCCTCAGATAATTTCAGCAG